AGCTGAATGAGCTTTAAGGTCCTTTCCCACCCAAACCATTCTGTGATTCTATGATTCTAATTTTTACTTCATTGCATTGGAGGCTGTTAGGTAAATGAGGCTTGCCCAGGAAGGTGCTGTCAGAGCCGTTTTGCAACAGTGGGTGGAGATCCCTCCTTTCGCTCCCTAAGCCCTGTGCTCTTCTGTTTCTCCCAGGCACTCAGTCAGCTTCTTCTAGGGCTAACAGAGTGGGCTCAGATTCACACGTTTCTCTCTGAAACACAGCAGGGTTCACTTTATTTCAGCTGAATTTAGCCCAAAGGAGGAACCTAGTGACATATCCCACAGAGCTAATCAAAGGAGATAACATTCTTCACCATAGATATTTCAACTTGAAAGCATCAGAGTTGCTTTGAGAATATTGTGCAGTGCAACTCCAGGCAGAGGTGTTACAGACCACAACTTATTTCTGAAAATTCTCCTGTTTCAGCTACCTTATAAAATAAAGGTTTTCCTAGCAGAAAAGAACTTTCCTCATATTACCAAAGCAGATGGATGCTGAGCAAAATTGCAGGCAATGTGGGAATGGGCCTCAGACTCTTCATTGACTCCTTATTGGAGGATCTCAAAGGACATTAAGCTCAGGAGAGTGACCTTTCCTGTCACATCAGCTGTAGCGCAAGTAGAAGATAAACAGTTAAAAACTTTGCAGATTCCTACCTGCAGGATCTAAAAGTATTATATTTCCCCTCTTTCTTTCTCAATATATTGAACAGTTGCACAAAAGATTTATATGGGACTAAGAAAATCTTTCTCCAAGACATCTAATATGTCTTATGCCTATAGAGCAGGTGAGAGACATGTGGGACTGAAACAAACCTGTGCAGTCTTGAGACTTGTTCAATTCCTCCTCCTTTCTGCACAGGACACACCAGTAATGACAGAAGTACTTTTTGTGCCCATCTGTAACTGTAGTTGCTTAATTCTGAAGCAGACGCTGGGGGGAGTTCGGTGGTGGTGGGAGATGTGATAATCACTGTGAACCCTTGGACTGCAAGTTTTGCAATATTCCAGGTTGACAGGCCTACCAGAGGAAGTCACAGAATCATAGAATGGCCTGGGTTGAAAAGGACCTTAAAGATCATGAAGGGCTGCCAACCACTAGACCAGGTTGCTCAAAGCCTCATCCAGCCTGGCCTTGAACACCGCCAGGGATGGGGCATCCACAGCTTCCCTGGGCAACCTGTTCCAGTGCCTCACCACCCCCACAGTAAAAAACTTCCTCCTAATATCCAGTCTAAATCTCCCCTCTCTTAGTTTAAAACCATTCCCACTCATCCTGTCACTGTCAACCTCGTAAATAGTCGTTCCCCCTCCTGTTTATAGGCTCCCGTCAGGTACTGGAAGGCTGCTATTAAGTCTCCTTGGAGCCTTCTCTTCTCCAAGCTAAACAAGCCCAGATCCCTCAATCTTTCCTCATAGGAGAGGTGCTCCAGCTCTCTGACCATCTTGTGGCCCTCCTCTGGACTTGTTCCAAGAGCTCCACATGTTTCTTGTGCTGGGGACCCCAGGCCTGGACACAGTACTCCAGATGGGGTCTCACAAGAGCAGAGTAGAGGGGGACAATCACCTCCCTCTCCCTGCTGGCCACCCCTTTTTTTTAGTGCAGCCCAGGACATAGTTGGCCTTCCGGGCTGCAAGCGCACACTCCTGGCTCATGTCCAGCTTCTCATCCACCAGGACCCCCAAGTCCTTCTCCGCAGGGTTGCTCTCAAGGAGTCAAAGTCAAAAGCTTGATCTATAGTGTCATCCCCAGGAGACAACTGCAGCAGATAAATAATGCTGGGGGAAAAAAGTATTGTCCAGAAGACTGAACAGCATCAAAAAGCATATTTTTCCAGTTATCATATTGATGTTCAGTTGTCATAGAGTTTGTGACAGAGACCTAAAATATTGGTTTGATGTTAATTTCTTAAAAACACAATTGGATTTATGACAACACTTAGTAAAGTATGGAAGATGAAACAGAATATTTTCTTGTACGAGTTATAGTAAACATTTCAATTGCTTTTATTTTCCAGATCGTAGCCGATCTGAGATAGATCTGAGTGAATCTTACTCTGAAGGAAATGAGGATACTCTGAGCATAAGAAGCAAATCTGTACCTAGTGCCTTAGATCAGGAACTGGTGAGTTATAAGTATGTAAATATTTATTTACAAATTTACATATTTCCAGGTGGAAATCCTGTTTGTTCAGACTTATAGAATCAACACTGTATGTGTATCTATATGAAATATAAGTAATGCAGAACATTGTTTCACGGATATTTAATGAGTTGTTAAACAGCTTTGCCTTCTGAGTATGTTGGCTATAGAGTTATTCCAATGAATAGTCATGGTTACAGTTTGTTATTGATTTGCTGGTTTTTTGAGTTTACAGGTGAAAGAAATCTGACCTGAAAATAAATTTCAGGCACTGTATTACACATGTTCCGAAGTTCTGTTAATTCATACTTTCTTGGATTTTAATTTTGATGCTGAGAAATATTATACTTTAAAGGCTTTAATATTTGTCTGGTTTTGATTTTCCCCTTATATATTTTTTAGCAAATGAAGCCCTGTCTTTCTGTTCTGCCATTGTTGCTTGCCTGTTCTTCCTGTTCACTGTTTTCTCCCATACATCTCTATGCCTTTTTCTATGTCTTCTATGGGCTATTTTTCCTGAAGTGATTCACAACTTCCCTCTCCTCTTGTGCACATATCCAAGATAACACAAGTTGCAGATGTGCATCAATGCTATAAAAGAATACCCAAGCTTATTAAATATGCATGAGAAATATGCATGAGGGGAAGAAAAAGAAGAGTTACTTAAATAGTTCTTAATCTGATTATAGTTTGTTCTGAAGTTTCAGAATGTGTGCTTCTAACTTAAAAAAAAAAATTATAACCCTCTATGTTATGGTTTACGTATTTTATCTGTTGTCATAGTCCTTCCCTAACAACTGCTCTGTTCAGAAAAGCATTGGCCATGGGTGATGTCTCACCTTCTTGTAACTTTTGATACTTAGGGCTTGGTGGAAAACAATGTGTTGTGATTCCTATCCATTTCTTGGACTGGAAGCATCCAGAGAATTTGCCTGGAGCCTTGTTTTGTTTGGGTTAATCTTTAAGGAAATAAAACAAGCCCTTCCTGTGCGTTAGATTTCTGTAGAAGAAAAACTTCAAAAATAAGTGTTTTGTTTTTTGATTGTAGTAAAGAAAAAGGACATGTTATTGATTTAAAAGATGGAAAATATTGAAGAAATAGAAAATAAGAAAATACAAGCTCTAAATATCTTTGTATTAGTTTCCTGCTCTAATTGTACATGCTGTGGGAGTTTTCACCTAGGAATATCTGAAGCAGATGCCGGAGATGCCAAGTCCAGAGTGGTTTTCTGTTCTTTTATTTTTTGTTTTTGTCTTCCTCATATTCAGAGCTTTTTTCTCTTTTTTTTCCTCTTCGTTTTCTTGCTGACTCCAAGTGAAATTTCAGATTGCACCTCAGCCACTCTCTAGCTTCTTTGCTAACATAGGGGGCCTCTCTTGTAACATAACCTTGATTTAGTTGCTCTGGGGTCTGTGAGAGTGCTAATTCCCCTTTAAATTTCATTCATAACAAAGTTCATAGATCTCTGATTCCACCCATGTCCCTACTTGCTCTGTCTTATGAAATTAATTGACTCCATTCATCAGCTTTAGTGTTTAACGTGGGTTTTGGGATAGTTTGACTCACAGGAGTCCTTCAGAGTCTTGCCCTGTGTTCATTATGAATGCAATCGTTTGAGATAATCCTGCTGGAGTTTAGCTTCTTTGGTGCTCAATATAAGAGGCAAAAAGAAAGATATGTGATGAAAATAACAACAGGTTCTGTAGCCTGAGAAAAGTCATACCACCTTTTCTCTTGGACAGTTGGTGGAGCTAGCTGGGGTCCTTCATTCTCCTATCTCTGGGTGATGGGAGCTGACAGCAGTGGTGTGGGAGATGCCACATGTCAATAAGATAAGCAGATTTCTGGAGTTTATCATCTGAAAATGTGGGAAAAAGCTTTTAGCTGCTTTGCGCCCAGCTTTATCAGAAAAATCCATTACACATACAGAGAAATAAGCTGGAAAATTGAATGGGTACTTTGCTTCTCTAACTTGCATTGCTCTTGATAGTGAAAAGGGACAACCTCCAGAAACCCACATACTGTAGTATGTGTGTACACCTTATCTAGAGATCTGTGTATTGAATCCCTGACAAGTAGCATTCATTACATGCTCAGCTGCTCTAGTAGAAGTAATTGGATAATACGCATTTTATAACCCCCACTGGAGACCATGAGATTAATGTCCTACTAGCTCTAACTTTAATAAGCTAATAACACTAACCAATTATGTAGTTGCAGTTCTGTAACACCTCCTGAGAAACATAATCATTGTGGTGCAAAATGAATTAAGAGCATAGGTTGAATGCTAACTTTTTCTTTTTTTGGTTTAAATATCTGCTTGCGCACAAAAATTGGTAGTCAGCTAGCTGTTGTTAGGACTTTTGTGAAGCACTGTTAATATTTGAGTGTCTAAACCTGAAACACCTCTGTATTAGCAGTCTTAGGATGTTGCCTTTTTTCTTTGTCCTATATTTAATTATTCACCAATAAAAATGTAGCATTGTTTATTTTGAAGTCCACGGGTATGTATACAACTGTGTAAAGGAAAGAGTTTTGCAGGTGTTACCAGAACTGCTTCTTCCTGTTATATGGGCAAGAAAGTAAGTTGCATCTTCTTGTACCAACTTTTAAACTTGGGGACATCATCTGAATTCTGAAGTCAATGAGGAGAGTAGATGTGAAGGGTGGGGGTTTTTGGTTTTATTTTAGAGGGGGGTTTTTTTGGTTTTTACTTTTGAAGGATTCAACTCTCTGTCTCCCTGAAATAGTTAGCTCTATTGTGCCTGGGTCTCCATGGACTTTTTCCTTAGACTGTAAAATATCTGCGACTTCCTTCTTCTGTGGAGTGGTAGCAGCACCCTGAATAGATTAGAAGGAGAAGAGCTCGGCAGTGGAGGCTCATTGTAAGAACATGAAGCTAAGAGGAATCTTTGCTTTAGTATATAAATTTTGGTTCTAAATAGAGTGATGGCTTGTCCTGATTTCCCTCTACTCAAATATGCAGTTACAATTGGAAAGTAGTAATAGAAAATTTTGCATCACTTTCAGCTGATTTTATTTCAGTTCAGTCACTGGAGCAAAGAAGAGTTGTAACAGATAGTTTTATGCATGCTGATGACAAATGCTCTGTAGATCTTTACATAAACTGACAGTTCAACTCTCCAGCAGCATTTCTTCTCTGCTCTGTTTTTCCTGATTAGTATACAAATCTTTGAGACTCCTGAAGTTTGAATGCCATACTTCTCTGTTTAGTTCTAAGAGAGTGAGAGAAACTGAGCAATAGAGAGTGAGGTAGGACCATCAACCAGATTTTAAGTTTCTTTTTAGATTCTACTTTTATTGCTGCACTTAAAAAAAAGAAAGTTATTTTTTCTGTGTATGAGCTAAAGATGTTACAGTTCAGTCTTGCTTATTAAAACTCAAGCACATATATAAAGCTGTGCAATTCCTGATTTTTCCTCAATTTTTTTAAATTATTAAAATAATACAGGAATTTAATTATTTTTAAAACATGCATACCTGCTGGGTTTTTTGTTCACCCGTCAAATATATTCAGTGTGTGCGATAGCAGGACAAGTTTCTTTGCATGTGGTTTGACAATAACCCAGTGTTTTCAGCACTGCCTGTTAGAAAGTGGGTCTGTGTTAATTATCATGGTCACAAAATTGTTGCCTGTCACCAAAGACAGTGCGAAAGGGTGCAAGTGTAATTGTGTGCTTGTCCATTTGTGTGCGTGTGAGTGTGATTGATATAAATGTGGATAATGATTGGAAAACCTGGATTGCTGGACTGTAAAAAATGTGTCCTGTAAGAACATGGAACCTGTACTGTGGCCAGGAAATTGACCGTCTAATGGCTTCTGGCTACAAGTATCTTCAGATAAACCATTATCAGTGATCCCCTGGCACCTGGTATCAGACCTTAATTAACTCATTTATTTTGGTAAGATTTGAAAAATTCTCACTGTGTCCCTCTAAGATTTCCAGTCTGGAATTCCTGAATGCAAGTAGTAGTAAGTAGAATAATGTAATTCACATGGGATTGTTGGTAGGCACAGAACTGGGTTTTGTTTATGTGCACAGTTGTTGGCCATGCGAAGGTATACACCTCCAGAATAAGATATGAAGTACGTGTCAAGTTTTTCAGTTCTTAAGCAATTGAACCCTGAAACTATAACAGTGTCTTTTCCGTTTATGCTATGTGCCTGTGCAAAGAAGTGGAAAACATAAATCCAAATTCCTCTAGAGATTAGAATTTTGAATGCATCCTGCACTGTCTTCCCAAAGTGGAAAATACGTGAAACAAAACTAAGTGACAGAGGTTGACCAAATACAGAGCAGAACACGACGACTAAAATGCCTGTTTGTCATTTAGGATTATCTGGATGAAACAGAAGAAGATAATGATGAAATAGTGGCCTCTCGTTATTCAAGGAAACATGGACATTTGACAAGTGGATTATCAACAGTAAGATCTTGAGTAGAAAACGTATGCTTTTTCCTTCCACAAAAGACCATTGTTCCTCCAAAAAGTTTAACTTCATACCACTTAGCAGCAGATCATCTTTCATCCTGCACTTGAGAAACATCCTTTAACATTTAGATAGTTTTTCTATTATATTTTTAGTGCTGTTCAAAGATAAAATGCTGGTCTCTGCAGCACATTGAAAGAGAAAATCATCTTACATACTCATCGGCAGATTTCCTCACAAGCTCAGGTTACTACCAAGCTGACATGGAGAACACAAACCATAGGTGTTTGCAGTACATGACTGCTCAGCTTTGCAGAGGAGCACTTGATCTCAATTTACTTGTAATGAAGAGAACAAGGCTGTGGTGGGATCTTCCATCTCAAACTACTTTCTGGTTGTTCAGATTCTTGGGACACAAATGCTTGTCTGTGTGTTTGCATACATACCACTTCTGTGGCATCATTATCATAGAATCATAGAATGGTTTGGGTTGGAAAGGACCTTAAAGATCATCAAGTTCCAACCCCCCTGCCATGGGCAGGGACACCCTCCACTAGACCAGGTTGCTCAAGGCCTCATCCAGCCTGGCCTTGAACACCTCCAGGGATGGGGAATCCACAACTTCTCTGGGCAACCTGTTCCAGTGCCTCACCACCCTCACAGTGAAAAATTTCTTCCTAATGTCTAGTCTAAATCTACCCTCTTTCAGCTTATACCCATTACACCTTGTCCTCTCACCACACTCCCTGATAAAGAGTGCCTCCCCATCTCTCCTGTAGCCCCCTTCAGGTACTGGAAGGCTGCTATTAAGTCTCCTCGGAGCCCTCTTTTCTCCAGGCTAAACAACCCCAACTCTTTCAGCCTGTCCCCCAGCCCAGCTTCTCCTATTCTTCATGACACAATTGCCGTACCACCCACATCCGAAAAGTATTTCTCTTTACAGTGAGCATGGAGATAACTGGGGATTTTGGTTGATCACAACTTTTCTGCCTGCTACAATAATTTTACTATTTTTCTGTTACATCCTTTTGTTTCTTGTCATAATCAAGCTATATGCTGTAAATCAGATGTTTGAGTCATATGGTTGTCTAGATTGCAACTTAATGTTGATTTTAAAAGGATGGCTGCATTTTCAGGTTGTAAGAGGTGCTTGAGATGCAACAAAATTGTTATAACAAGCTTTACATGGTTCATTATGCAGTCTGTTACTGGGAAAGGAAATGCATGATAAAAGTAGCCTCTAATGTTTATGACTACCTGTTGTGTACCTCATTTTTGGGATCTGACTCTTAGGATGTGGGAAACTGATAGCATCTTCAGAAAAGTTGTGAAGTCCTCTCTGGCCACTCTTGTGTATGACTTGTGCCTAAGAATAGCTCTGGTCAGCATACGGAGTACCAGAAAAGTGCGACAAACTCCAAGGAGAAGATCAGAGAGTTGAAGAGGATTAAGAGAGATGAGTCTGTATGCTAAAAGGGAGGAGAAAATTTGGTCCATGATAGTAACCAGTGAACTGTCATTTCTAGACTGCATCGCCATTAGTCCCCATGCAAGCAGGGCCCAGGGAATGCCCACTTAAGTTCTTGATCTCAGGTTGACTGAATCCAAGCTTGGCTTACCTGGGGAGAAGAAAGGGCTGAGAAAGTTGCCTTCAGAGCACTTTGTTATCTTAGATCTGGCCATGTCCAGACGCTTTTCCCTTCTAATTTGCACAATTCACCAAAACAGACACAACAGAGATGTGTGACACTTCACACCAAATCAGACTTGAACAAATGTAGCCTGTTGGCGCTGGTCTAATTAGACCCACCTGCCCGAGGCTGGCTATGACTCATTATCTCCAGTGCTTGCTGCTCCTGTGGATTTTATACACAAAATTAGTTTTATTTTCCCTGAATATTGGATACAAGGGTTGCAGATGCTTAAGTGCTTTCTCTGTTTAGGCCGCTAATTGAGGAACTACATTTAGAGAGCCTTCTTTCTGTATACTGTAGGCAGCATTCCATCTGTGTATTGGGTTTTGTCCCAGTGCTCTAGATTTCCTTGTGACCTTTTTCTTAAGCACAGCACAGCTTTTCCACTGCTGTAGGTTTGAGATAGTCTCACATCTCAATGCTCTTGTTTCTCTTTATTCGCCATGACATGACTTTTAATGTCACTGCAATGCTATGTTAATGGTGAGGTTGCAAATGGCAAGCTGCTTCTCCTTGTAAGAGCAGGTCAGTTTTACAGGTTCTTTTTTCTTCAGTGTGTGTTACTAGCTACTAGTATTCCCTGTCTCTCTTCTTTTTGCCTTTACTCTGCTTGTTGTAAGCCTGTGAGCCTTCTGCACTGTACTGATTTTTTTTCATATACTTATCTGTCAAATGAGTGTGTACCATTAAGTCACAGTGAAATAATGTTACTAATGAACAGTAGGCTCTGACTGCATGTTTATCCTTGTCCTTTCTTTTTTTCAAATATGAGAATTTAAAGTGTAGTATAGGTACTCTGACAATGAGCATTTGAGATAAAGGAAGATGTATCTCACAGGGTAAAGATGCTTGAAATCTACCTATAACATTAGCGAGAAGAAATGGGAAGTGACATTGATCAGGAACTGTATCTCAGCATTAGGGTATTTTTCTTTGTGTTTTCGCAAAGCTAGTACATGAACTGTGTATTTAGTTTTTCCCTGTATCTTCCACTGATTCCTCTCCTGAATACATTAATGTGGTGTTGTCAAGACCCATCACGTCAGTAAGACTGAATTGTTCCAATGCCTTACCTCAGCAATAAGATATGACGCAAAACAAATATAATTCTTAGTGAGGTACTAAGATGAGCCTCTGCATCTTCCATATGTTGTTTACTACTTATGAAACTGGAAAATTAGTAGCTTTCTTAAGGACATTACATTTAGCATATGTAATGTCCAGTGTAAGTGCCACAGAACAGAGTCTGTGGGGAGGAGAGTCAAGTATATAAAAAATTTCTACTAAATTTGTGTTATCTTGTTGGTGGTTTGTAAGCAATTCAGAAATTGTGTTTGCAAAAATTCTAGGGTCAGAGGTCATCTGTTTGTTTAGGACTCTCCGTTGGTTGTTTTTTTTTCCCCAATAATTTATCCTTCACTGCCCACTTAGCTAAAGATCAAGAAAAGTAATTTTTGGATTCAATTGAGAAAAACTCATTCACTTGCTCGTGTGAGTATAGCCTTGTTTGTTTGCTGAAGTGGGCACACAGATTGTTACTTTCCTGTTGCAGGTGTAATTTAGGCATTTTGTAGCACATACTGGGACTGTTGAATTCACTAATGGTGTCCAAGGATACCCATTTTCATGTATGCTAGAGGTGGAAATGCATAGCTGGTAAAGGCCGGAATTCAGCTCAAGGCATGTTAGGAATAGGAGGAAATACGGCACATTTGTCAGTGTGTACTGCTAATTCTCCAGTAATTTCAACGAATTCTGTTCATGGAATTTCAGCCAATTGTACAAGGAATAAAAGGACAAGCATTTTTCTTTTTTTAAATTAAGGATAAAGAAGGCCAGCAGAAATTTAAAAAAAAAAAAAAAACAAAAAAAAAAACAAACAAAAAAAAACCAAAAAAAACCCACCCTCTTTGTCACTTAGTATTCCTACATGATGATGTATAAAATTAACTTTATGGAAAATGATTGCTTGTCCTGATTTTCCGTGTCTTTTTGTTTACCATATTGACACAGGCCTGCTTATCCCTCCAGCATTCTTTGCTGCTGGGCCCTTAGGCAAGGGGCTCGGAGAATTGAGTTTTGTCACAGACCAATTCTTTTTGTGTGGCTCTTTCCTTGACTGTGCTCTTCCTTCCTCCCTACAGCTGATAAGGAAGGAAGTAGATCAAGATGTAGATTACCTTGAGCTCACTGGTGAGATTTCCAGGTACTGCTCTAGCAAGCAGAGGGGGAAAATGTTTCCCCAAATATTCTATTGCTATATTTTTCCCCAAAGAGTGACACGTTTACAAATTTCTGTGCATTTTTATCTATTCATACAAACTGCACAGAGAAACTGTGATTTTACAAATATATGAATGCTTAGCTTTTTGACTAGCTTAAGTGAGGATTGACTTCATGTAGACGTAAATGAGGACAAAACCAAGTACAATTCCATACAAATACAAATCTGTTGAGTTGGTGTTCTAAAATGTAATTTCTTTATTTTGATACAACAGATACTTCATGTCTACTTAATTATGTTGAGCCATGTGTCTTCAATATTTGAAGTATATGGAAAACACTTAGCATTTCTCTGATTTGGTGATAACTTTTTCTTTCTTTCTTGCTATGGCTTTGCAAGACAAACTTCCTTTGCTTTTCTGTACAGGTAAAGATTTATCACTGCACTTTATTCTTTCTTACTGCAGCTGTCTAATGCTCTTTTCTCTTGATCTTTTGCACTGCCTTCTTTAAAGAACTCCCCAGAAGGCTCTGACAGAAAATGGACGTATTTAAATGTGCCTGAAACAGATGGTGATACTGTGAGTTCTGAATCCTCTGCTTAGCTTACTTTTAAGGTTTCTCTCTCTTTTCTCCCTTTTTGTTAAAGACTGTACCTGTGTGTCTTGCAGGGTTCCTATGTGTTAGAATTTAGATGGTTATATATCTTTTTGAGCAACCTTGCTCAGTGACTCAAAAGAAAATGTGCACCAGATTTCTCGAATGCCTCTGGTTCTGGCAGTGTGCCTATTGCTCTGGTTTTCTTTAAAAATAGTTCTTTCCTAACTGTAATCTTTTGGAAGAGGAAATCCTCATAGCAATACTCTGCAAGGTATAAGTGAAAAAAAGAGATTGAGGGATGATATCTCATGTTTCAGTGGAAAATTTTGTGGGGTTATTGCTGAACTTTTTGGGCTTTAGGAAAATTACAGAAATGGTGGGTAGGGAATTTTGCTCATTGTTTTAGAATTACTAATGAGAAGTGAGTGTCACTTTAAACAAACATGGATTTATACCATCTCTAGTATAGAAGCATCCTTATAATTTCTTCTAATGGCTCTGTCAGCAGTTGTCTTGTGAGACTCAGTAGAAATTCAGTGTACAGCAGAGCCAAAGAGGTGTGGTTTTTTTGGTTTTTTTTTTTTTTTTTTTTCCCCCCTGCTTGGAATTTATGTGAGCTTACAATTTATGTAGTCTGTCTGCTCTTCAGTTCATGCATGAATTAAATGGTGGTACTTTAGATGGAGTCATGTTTATAAATAGGTTTGAATCTTGCATGGTAAAACATTAACTGTCTAGACATTTAAGCTATTATTAATTATAGTTCTTATTCCCTTTTATATCAAATGGTGGTATTTCTGTTCTATGATGTATCTGTTTTCATAGCAAGTCCTAGCAAGTGTGACAATATTGCAAGGCTGTAGCTGTATGAAAAAAAAGCAGATTCTGGAAAAGAGTAATTTGTTTAAGCCTCTAAGTACTTTTTCTCTCCCTCTCCAGGCCAGCATTAACAGCATGCTGAGTGTATATAGTGAAACTGGTGACTATGGCAACGTGAAGGTCAGCGGTGAAATCCATCTCAACATCAACTACAGCTACAAAACAGGTGCCCTCAACATCCTGGTGAAAAGTTGCAGAAACCTGGCCATTGCAGATGAGAAGAAGCAAAGGACCGATCCGTAAGCACAGAGGAGAATTTCCTCTTAGGCTCTGCTAGGGGTGTCCTCCACTGCGTCACACACTGTAGTCAGTGATGTAGCCTGGGGCTGTGATATGAGCCTGAGAACTCATAAGATCCAGTTGCTACAAGACAGCATTCCGATGATGGTTGATTTGGGATTCTCTGTGGGAAATGCATTTTTGAGATGTTTATTAGGGCAACACGTGCCTGTTCCAGGAAAGCAATAGGATTACTTAAATTATCAACCTGTTTGAAAGTAAAAGGGCAAAAAATATGAAGGAATAGGGAGGCTGAATTGATTTCTTACTTCTAGAATCAAAACTAAAGTATATGAGAGGAGTGATGGTTTAGAGGGAGGGAAGGATAGTGATAACTGGTTTCACACATCCATAGATTCACTTTCTAAGGACCATGTTTTCTGAGCTTCTCCTTATAGTTTTCAGTATAATCTGTAAATTCTCTCATCATCATGTGTAATCCTATTGTAGGTAAGGTATGAAGTTTTTCATTCTCTTGTATTTTCAGTGTATGTGTTGTCATATGTAACTAGTCAGTGATCGTATACTACAAAAGGGAAAGCTTTCTGCGTTTCTGACAATGAGCAAATTAATTTAGCTCTGCATTTTGATATTCTGCTCCTATCTGATTAACATTGCTGTGTTTGTAGGTAAAGATCATACCTTTCCATGTTTCACATATTCTCTGTTACATGTGTACATTGTTTAGACTGCAAAAATTAATTTCCTCATATGTGTTGCTAATGCAGCAATGTCAGGTTCTTCCTCAAACTCATCAGTTTTATTCCTTGCTAATAACTTACTACTTGATCTACAGATATGTCAAAGCATACCTTCTGCCTGATAAGTCCCGCCAAAGTAAACGCAAGACCAAAATTAAAAGTAACAGCACCAATCCAGAATTTAATGAAACACTGAAGGTGAGAACACTGTCCCTCTCTCAGGCTGTGATGAATGTTCTGCTTGTGCTCACAGGCATTTTCTATATGTGTTCTGGTATAGGGATTAGGATTTGGAAGATATGCCTCAAAGGGAAGGTGTTTAAGCGAAAACATCTAGTAATCCTATGAGTCGTAATTTCTCGCTTTCAGGCCTAAATGTTTTTGTTTGATTCTTCCCTTTACAGGTCAAACTTCTATAAATTTCCATAGTTGTCTTTCAAAACTGTTGGTGTTCCCATCTAACCTGAGCTCAGAGTTGTTAAAAGCACCTTAAAGATTTTGTACGCCCTAAGGTAGCAGCTGACCTGAAGTAGAGGCAGCTTAAAACTTCCAGTCTCACTGATTTGGAAGAGAAAACAACCTTTTCCAGTAAGATCTGAATTTCTCTGGAGGCTTTAATTTTTTTTTTTAAAGCAGAACTGACTTTGATAAGAAAATGCCAACAATGGCTTCACTAAATGCCTTCCAAAAAAAGCTGTGTGAAGTTCATTTTCTGTTGCAAAAGATAATGACAGATTACTTCCTTGAGGATTGGTGGAGCACAACACCCAGGCTTTCCTTCCTTGCCTTTTACTCACATCCACTACAGAGGCTGAAATATTTTTGAGCTCCTCACAAGCTGCTTATTCACCTCCTTGACTCTGTGGTACAGGTGGGAATGGCAGAGTTACTACCCAGTTCGCTGCCTGTCTGGCACCTAGACCTCAAGGCTCCTGGTGATTCCCCTCCCTGTCAATAGAAGAGAGTTATCCCAGCTGGCTGTCATGAGGCCAGAAACTCTTCTTAGTTTCTCCTGAATTATTTTTCGTAATTTCAGTGATGTTTTAAATAAGTTTCTTATAATAGAGGCTAATAGATGTTCCCTGGCCAGTATACTTGGCTTAACCTGGCTACAAAACCATTTTGCAGACTTACACATGCTTGATCTGGCCAGACTGCTTGCCAAGGGAGAGACTCTTGTATGGCCTCATTTTCAAGTTGTTTATAGTAAAGTTAAGACTTGCTTGAACTGGGGGGGGGGAAGAAAAAAAAAAAGTGTTAGACTCTATTTAACAAGGAACATAGCACTAAACATGCATGTTTGCTGGCAGGGAACTCAGTGAGGATAGGACCTAGCAGCTTGCTAAAAATGTGAATTGTAATGAAGAGGGCTTATTTGAATTGTGGGTAGGTAACCAAGAGCTAGCATCTGTTCATCCCAACTGTAACTACTGTTAAAAAAAAAAAAAAGAAAAGAAAAAGAATTAAATGTATCTGTCTCTTCCCTCTTTGTCTTTTATTCTGTTGTTGCTAAATATGACATTTCTCACAGTGGAGCTGCTGGTATCTAGGATTAAGCATTGTAGACATATCTATACATGAAGAGCCTACTTGTATGGCTTGCCAACTGACTTCACTGTTTCAGCTTTTGGAGAATATGTGTCTGTGTCCAGACGTTGTTCTAGATGTAAAAAAGGAGACATCTGGGTCTCTTCAGCTAACACTAGGAGAAGGGTGAATTTCGGGGAATTAATGGGTCTTTTGCTAAAAGCAGAGTGGGCAGAGACAGAATTCCAGATGTTTATAATTTTCTGTGTACTTGTGAGAATATGATGTTTCTTCAGAGGAGTTTTTTAATAGCTTTCAAAGACAATAATGGTTAGTAAGACTGATATGCTTGGTGCATGTTTTGCAGATGCAGTTTTGCTTGTTTTCAGAACATTTTTTCATAAGTTACAAAGGTACAATTGAATAGGAGAGGACACTATTTCTAGGAACTAGTATACAGCAGACTCTCTTTAGGGATGAAAGAACCAGTGGGGTTTCTTTTTAGGAACTAAACTTTGATGCTGATCTGCTTCTTTTATGAAAACTTATAAGGAACTAACAGGATTGTAGTTTTAAGTGTCATAATTTACTCTATAGTCATAAATACCCAGTAAATAATACAGAAAAAACCACAATCGTGATAGTAACATTAATTCCCATTGGATGCATACTGCAAAGAAGAGAGTTAAGTTTAACATTAGCATTTTATGTTTCTGACTAGATCAATCTTGTTTGCAAAGAAAACAAACCTCTCTTTCATGCTTCGCTTGTTAGCTGCAGTGGGCTTCATGAAAATTGACCTAGAGCTGTGAAAGGCTCTGTGGAAACAATTATTTCTGCTTATTCTGAGAGTTTCTTTTTCTCTTTTTCTGTTGGTAGTATGTCATCAGTCACACACAGCTAGAAACCAGGACCCTGCAGCTTTCTGTCTGGCACTATGACAGATTTGGACGCAATAGCTTCCTTGGGGAGGTGGAAATTCCGTTTGATTCCTGGAACTTCGAAAATCAGGGTGATGAGTGGTTTGTGCTCCAGCCCAAGGTAAGGGTTTCCAGGGGCCAGTGAAAGTGCTGCGAAGCAAATTTAGCAAGGCTTGGTTATTTTTCCTTTGGAATGTGTTTATAAAATGGTGACTTTATGAGTGTCTAATATGGTAATAAAAATAATATATTTGTTCTTTATTCAATCAAAACATACTGGTTTTAAACTCTTCATGAAAACTTTACATGTGATTGGCTACTTAAAAACAAACAGAACCCCTATCTTTTAAATAAACTATGAGTTCATCTTGTAATACATTGCAATGGAGAAATGATCCAGTAAAGCAGCTGATTATTTTTTAAAAATAAGGACTGTTCTACCACTCCCCCCTACCCAACCCTTAACAGTTTATGAAAGAAATAGATCTTTTTTGTTTCAGTTCAAAGTGCGCTTTACATCCTTCAGCTGTGACAAAATGACTCCTTAATCTCTTAGTCACCTTAACTAGGAAGATACAAGATAAGGCTTCTCATCAGGAAAATCAATTGGTCTGTGAAACAGGACTTGCATTTCGCTAAGAATAGGATGGCTTCTGTCTCTAGGGCACCCCCTGCTTTGGCAAAGGAGAAGATGTTCATTTTTGGAAGGGATTCAAAGAGCTGTTGTAAACTAGAGGATTGAAGGCTTATGGCTTGCTTGCTCCTGCAGCAGCCAGAACCCCCAGAAATTCCAGTGGTTTAGATTGCCATTTCAGAAAGTCTATTTTTCATGTTGCAGAAAAATTCAAGGTTGTACCACAAGTAATGTGGAGATAGACTCAGATTACTTGTTTGCTCTGTGTTCATTGTATTTAAATAAATAGTGTTATGTTTGGGGTTTCAGGAAGGTGTGTTTGATTTGTGCCTTTCTCTCAGGTGGGAGATGGATCTGATTGCTGTATAATTAATTTCTAACTATAGCCCTTTGTGGGGCTTACATCTAAATTGTCACAAATTTATACTTTATTAAAATAATTTGCCAGAAGGTGCATAAGGAAATTGGTCTCTTCTTTGAACACTTACATACCTCACACTTCAAAAGTGGCAAGGAAGATCATTTGCAGTTTCCTAGTTCAGCTTTGTTAACAAGGGTGACCACTAGCTCTTCCTTCGTGGTCCAGGCAAGGTGAGACCAGGAAGAGAAAGTGGCTAATGATTGCAACAAACATGTTTCAGTCAGCGCTGTGTCCAGGCCAGGATTATACCATTCTCCTTACAAGCTTGCATCATGTATGTTACTTTTGTTGGGTCTGCTCTTGAAGCAGAATAAATGTCTACTATCTCTCTGTCATACCTCTGGCTGGTGTCAGATGATGCCCGTATTTAACACCCACCCATTTACAACAATAAGATACACATCTAGTATTTATTTTGCTTGCAGTTTGTATGCAATGTTGGTCTGAAATAGAGCTTCTTATTGTGCAGTAGTCTCTGTCATCTCATTTCAAACTTTAGGGGTTTATGTGTGTATGGGTGGTTTCTTTTAATCCTAATGGAAAAAAAAAAGACAGTCATGAAGCTCTCCTGCTCAGGAAAAAAAGCAATGAGGCGTTAAGCATTTCAGCTATTCCAGCTGGAAGGTGTTGTCTGATTATTTCCAAACCCATTAAAAGGATTTTTAAATTAGTTCTTTTTTTACCAAAGAAAGCAAACATAGAATTGGTTTTGTCTGCCTCCTAAGTTGTTATAAATAATGTTTCTAAACTTGAAATGCTGCTAAGATTACTGATCAGCAAAGATAATATTTTTTTACATATCAATTATTGCATTTTGAATTTTAAATAAGCGCAGGTTAATACACATGCAAATTACATGCTGTTCTCCCTGATGAACTGCCTGATAGAGACAGGAATGGCAGTGAAACATTTCCTGGGTTTTATTACAGCACTTTATTTGTTTTGTCATGAGTCATTTGGCTGTTTGAGTGAAAAGATTGGAGACCTGCTAATTCTGTGAGTATTGAATGTCTGTTTTCAAGAGGAGTGTGGTTAAATCAGAAAAAGAAAAGAAAATAGTCCTGTGGTTAAAGAGCGGGCAGAGTCTAGAGCCACATTATATGTGGGTTTGGGGGGGATGTTGACAAGTTGTTCCTGACGTAAGAACTTATACCATCTCTTGTCCACCAGTAGAACAGAAAATATAATTCTTGCTTTATGGGAAACTTGATCCTAAATTTTTGTAGTTCAGACCATAAGTGAGCTGCCTGACTGGCAAGATTTAGATGCTGTGCAAATTATTCCACAGCCATTTACTACAGGTTTTCTTCTGTGGTCTGTTGTAGCAACTGGCATCAGAGACTGCTGGAGACAGGACCATTTTTCTCA